TTTCCTTCTCAAGACTGCTTTGGCCACTCAGATTTTTTGTGGATCCATACATATTTTAGAGTGCTTTTTAAAATTTATTTGATAAATGTCATTGGAGTTTTGATAGTAATTGCACTGAATCTGTAGATGACTTTGGTAGTATGGATATTTTACTGATATTAATAATTCAAATCCAAGAACACAGAGTATTGTTCCACTTACCTGTGTCTCATTTAATTTTTTTTGTCATTGTCTTATAGTTTTCAGTGTATGGATCTTTTACTCCTTGGCTAAATGTAATCCTAAGTATTTTTAGTGATCCTGGAAATTGAATTGTTTTATTGATACCTTTTTCAGAATGTTAGTTGTTATTATACCTAAACGCTATGAATATTTGTATGTTGATTTTGTATCCTGCAACTTTACTAAATTTATTAGTTCTAAAAAAATTTTTCTGTAGTCTTTAGGGTTTTCTGTGTATAAGATCATGTCATCAGAAAACAAGGACAATTTTACTTCTACCTTTCAGATTTGGATGCCTTTCATTTCTTCTTCTTGCCTAATTGTTCTGGCTAGGACTTTCAGTACTATAATATTAGAAGTGGTTAGAGTGGGCATTCTTGTCTTGTTCCCAAACTTAGAGGAAAAGTTTTCAACTTTTCATCAGTGAATATGATGTTAGCTGTGGGCTTGGCACAGATGGCATTTATTATGTTGAGATACATTCCCTCTATACATCGTTGTTGATAATTATTATCATAAAAGGATGTTAAATTTTATCAAATGCTGCTTCTGCATCTATTGAAATGACCACCTAATTTTTATCCTGAATTCTGCTAATTGTTGTGTCATATTTACTGATTTGTGTGTGTCGAACCATCTTTGCATCCCAGAGATAAATCCCACTTGATTATACTGTATTTTCCTTTTAATGTGTATTGAATTCTTTTTGCTAGTATTTTGTTAAAGATTTTGCATCTATGTTCACCAGGAATATTGGTCTGTAATATTCTATTCTTTCAGTGTTCCAGTCTGCCTTTGGTTTGAGGGTATTGCTGGCCTCATAAAATGAGTTTGGAAGTATTACCTCTCTGTCAGTTTTTGGGGAAAGTTTAAGTAGAATTTATGTTCATTCTTCTTTAATGTTTGGTGGAATTCACTGGTGAAGCCATCAGGTCCTGGAGTTTCCATGGTTGGAAAGTTTTTGATTACTGACTTAATCTTCATACTTATTGTTCTGTTCAGATTTTCTATTCATGATTCAGTCCTGGTAGGTTGTACATTTCTAAGAATGAATTCATTTCTTCTAGATTATTCAATCATTGGCATATAACTGTTCATAGTAGTCTCTTACAAGCTTTTGTATTTCTGTGGCATCAGCTGTAATGTCTCCTCTTTCGTTTCTGATTTTGAGTCTTCTCTCTTTGTTTCTTAGGTTAGTTAATGGTTTGTCAATTCTACCTTTCAAAAAAGTTTTAATTTTTTCTTATCTCTATTTCATTTATTTCTCCTCTAATCTTTTTTATTTCCTTCCTTCTGATAACTTAAGGATTAGTGTGTTCTTCTTTTATCTAGTTCCTTGAAGTGTAAAGCTAGATTGCTTATTTAAGATCTTTTTTTATATTTTATGAAGGCATTTATCACTATTAACTTCCCTCTTCAAACTACTTTTACTGCATCTCAAAAGTGTTACGATGTGTGCTATTTTTGTTTGTCTCAAAATATTTTTAATTTCTCTTTTGATTTTTTCCTTGACCCATTGGTTGTTCAGGAGTTTGTTGTTTTGTGAAAACTGAAAATTCACAGTTTTTCAGTTTTTCCCCTGGTATTAATATGAAGACAAAGTCATTATCTTTCATAAAATGATATTTCATATAATAGCCAAGAGAATAATAAAACTTTTTGTGAGAACATAAACTGCAGACAATTTAAAGTATATCTTTGGAACATAGTTTACATGTATCCTCCCATATATGTTTTTACTCCCAAGTTCTCATTTCTTCTAGACTAAATTTTTATGACAGCTCCATACGATGTATCTGATTTTAGCCCTTTAACCTTCTTTCAATATACCATACACACTGTCATCAACTTCATTGTCAAATCTGCTACCTGAAAAAAATATATAAAAATTCCCTTTCATAATAGAATGAAACCCAAACTCCTTATCTTGCTATGCATGGTGCTTCATGATCTGGCGTCAACATGCCTTTTAATCTCTCTCAACCACTATTTCCCCTTATAGCCTTTTGTCCCAGCCAAACAACATGTTTTCTACTGCTCAAACACTGTACTTTCATATCGTTGTTGTTGGCTCAGCCTGCACCTTAAATGTGGAATGACCTTTCACAAATCTTTCTTAAATGCAACTTATCTGTACCCAGATGAGCTAGCAAATAAAGGTTTAAATAAGTAAGGAATTTAATTTTTATCATGTAAAAAAGAGGTCCAGACATGACCATCTATTGCTGGTAAAGTGTTTTCACAGAACCCTGGGGAACTCTGACTTCTTTTAGATTTTATACTTATGCTTCTTGCCTCATGGTTCCAAAATTACTGCTTCACCTCCAATACTACATTCACATTCCAGAGAGGAAGTGGAAAAAATAAATAGGGAAAACAGCATATCACAGCAAGTCTTATCACCTTTTTAAAAATTTCCCTACACAGTAACTTCCAAATATATTTCATTGGGCATAATTATATCATAACTAATCTTAGCTATAAAGAAAGCTGACAAAATATTTACTAGTCAGAAAATGTTGTACTAGTGAGGAAGGAAAATAAGGCGAAACCAATATGCATTCAGCAGTGTTGGCCTTATTATTTGTTTATTTTCATAATTATCTTTTCCTGGTTGTCTGGAACTTCAAAGTCATCTTTGTACCTTCTACTGCAGCATGCACTAAGAAGATACTTATTATATATTTGAGTAAGTTTAACTTTATAAATGACAAGGGAAAGAAAACCATTTTCTGCATTTAAGCATGATTGTATTCCATTGTAATGAAAGCATAAACTTAGATAACTTGATCAAGAATAAGCAAACTACTGCCTGGGGGCAAAATGTGGCCTACATTGTTTTTGTGCACACCATGAACTCAGAATAGCTGATACATTCTTATAGTGTTTTAAAAAATAAAAACAGGAATATGCAGCAGGGACTGTATATAAACTGCAAAGCCTAAAAGATGTGGCATCTGGCATTTTACAGAACATATTTGCCATCCCTTGATATAGGTTAACATGTACTACATTTCTTTTTTTTAGTGTTAAGGATTTAATTGTATTATTCCAGGGTCATTGAAGCCATCTTTGTCTTTTGAAACAATGTATGTGAGAAAACTTGCCAGCCAACCCTTTCTCTTGTCAGGAAACTCAAATGTCCTATACCCATTCCGCAGAGAGACTGATGTTAGGACTTCTGTAATGATCCTCACTCAGACTTATGAGCTAAATTTTCAGGTTTGAAAGTACATCATAATTTTTGATGATTTTTAAGTAATAATGTTCTCCTATGACTATGCAAATTTTAAGAAAAAAATTATGGTTCTGAAGCAGAAATAAGCATGAGAACCAATTAATTGTATTTCACCCATGCAATTGTTGAATAACTCTATATGTGAGGCTAAAGCAATCTTTTTCCTATTGACTCTGCTCCATACCTTGACTAAATTATCCAAGCCAATGATTTGAGGAAGCATATGTGAAACCACCTTGAAGTATTTTACTTTCATGTTGTGCAAAGTATATTTTAAGTTATCTTAATGTTGCATAAAATCTTCCTGTAATCTCAAGAAACAGAGGGAGCAATTTTATCTTACTTGTGACTAAATCCCCCAGTGCCTATTGCAGTGCCTGGCAGGCAATTATAAGCTCTGTGTTTTTGTGCGTGCACACGTGTGCAAGCATTGCTACCTCCCCTTCATCTCAAGGCAATGAAGTCTTGTTTCCATTATCACATGTCACCTTCTGTTAACGATGAACAAGTCATTACATGGAAGAAGTTAAGGAGTTCTACTTCTCGCATATAAATTCTACTTTTCCTATGTAAGTTCTACTTCATCCTTGTAAGTTTAGAGTACTGGAAAATAATATATGAAGAAAGTAAAATGTAGAACATTGGCATGGCTTCTGAAGGTCAAATATACAGTCACTAATGGAATCAGGATCAACACAGATGCTCAAGCATAATACCATGGTGTCTCTGTTTCACTAAATTTCCTCTCCTGTAAATAGTCCATGTCCTTAAATTTGCTGGATTTTTAAATAAAAAGTAAGTCATGTAATCCCACGTAATATGAAGGTATACACAAGTACTCCAAAAAGTTTCAGAATAAAGTAACTAAAGTAAAAAGGCACACTCTATTGATATGTATTAAAACAAAAAATCTCCAGAAACCAAACGAGTTTCTTGCAGAACCTAAGGACTTCTGTATTTCATTAAGAAAATGTATTGTAAAGGTAAAAAAGCAAATGATAGAACAGAAACAGCACAATATTCTGAATTATAGTGGCCTTTAAGTAAATAATAAGCATCAATATTCTCTTCATAAAAGCAAGTTTGCTAATTTAGTATCATAAAAACATTTTTTTCAAAAGCCATGTCCAAGGGGGCACCAGTTAAAATAGGACAGGGATGATTGTAACACTTTCAAATTGTGGAACATTTTTCTTCCTTAAACATTCCAGAGCTTTTATGCAAACATAATTATTAAAGTGCATATGTCATTGGTTCTGAACTTATTATCTGAATTTTCTGTGAGAAAAACAAGGAATTCTTTTCATTTGGATCCTGACTCAGCACTTATGTCTCATTTACTTTTAGTCACTGTGTTTCTGCTTACAGTATGTGAAATACTCTCACCAGAACAAAGGTCCCAGCGTCAATAAGTCAAATCCCAGACCCTGACAGCTGAGTGAATAGCAGAGGCCAGAGTCCACTTGAAGTGTTCACACTTCCAGAGACCAAGTTTAGATCTTATCTGCCTGAGAATCCTTTTAACACTGATTTGTCATAGCAGGTAGCTGACAGAATTTAATCCTGAAGACCGGAAACATGGCTTGTACCATCCAAAAGGCGGAAGCACTCGACGGGACTCGTCTGATGCAGATCCTCTGGCATGATGAGGAAGAGTCTCTCTACCCAGCTGTATGGTTGCGAGACAACTGCCCGTGCTCTGATTGCTACCTGGATTCTGCAAAAGCACGGAAACTTCTAGTCGAAGCTCTTGATGTGAACATTGGAATTAAAGGCTTGACATTTGACAGAAAAAAGGTAATTATCTCTAAATTAGTCTCCCTTCTTTCTCACGTTCAATAATGGGGCTAGTCAACAATAATTTAGATAACTCTTTTTTATTTGGTCACACATATATAACCACATATGGACCCAGGTTTGTATAGTACTTGGTGCAAATTAAGTATACTCAGTAAATGGAAGCTTCAGCTATTATTATTACTATTATCATTACTACTACTATTTTTAATAAAATTTGCAGTGCTACTTGTCACTCTTTCAGTGAGTGGCAGCCTTGAAAACATAAACTGTCTACAATAAAAGCAATGCTTCTAAGCCTCAGTTTATTCATTTGCAAAAAGGAATACTAAAAGAACTTGCTCATAGAAATGTGAGGCATCACTGGGATAATATGGATAAAAATGTTTAACACTGCCTGGCATACAGTAAGCACTTAAAAAAAAAAAAAAAAGACATTAACTAATGTCTTTTAGTCAAATTAGTATGTAGAGATACAAGACTTGTTCTTGGATTCCCAAAAGCACAGCTCTCAAAACTACAAACCAGTGGCAGCCACCATTCCATATTTCTCTCTTCCAAATTTACTAGGATTCTTATTACGCTTCTGTCCACATCCCGACTTGAAGACTTTACTCCCAGATTTCACTGCTTGCTAGCTAGATAGAAATGTTGTTTACTCTTGCATTTCTCACCTGAAAAAATTGCGAACAATAGTAGTATCTTCCCCCTAGAGTTGTAAAGATTAAATGTGTTATGTCTATAGTACTTGTTGTAAACACTCAAAATAGTGTTATTTTTATTATTGCTGTCATCCTCCTTATCATCACTACTATTACTTTTTTCTTTCCTTTTTGAGATGGAATCTTGTTCTGTTGCCCAGGCCGGAATGCAGTGCGGCAATCTCGGCTCACTGCAACCTCCGCCTCCTGGGTTCAAGCAATTCTCCTGGCTTAGCCTCCCAAGTAGCCGGGATTACAGGCACGGGCCACCATGCCCAGCTAATTTTTGTATTTTTAGTAGAGATGGGGTTTCACCATGTTGGCCAGGCTGGTCTCAAACTCCTTACCTTGTGATCTGCCCACCTCGGCCTCCCAAAGTGGTGGGATTATAGGCGTGAGCCACCACACCCAGTCACATCATTACTATTTCTAATACTCTTGGCAGGAATCTTAATTGATAACTAGCTTCAGTTATCACAGAAAGTTTGGGGATCCCAGGTTTAGAGGATGTAGGTCAAGAACTGTAGATCTATCCATGCTCTATTTCTTGAGTGCTATTTAAGGGCTTCAGACCTCAGATGTATTACTTTGGCTTCCTTGTTTTCCAAAAGCTTATGCTTAATCTCTATCTTAAAAATTAAACTGGCCAGGCATGGTGGCTCACGTCTGTAATCCCAGCACTTTGGGAGGCCGAGGCAGGTAGATCACGAGGTCAGGAGATCGACACTGTCTTAGCCAACATGGTGAAACCCTTTACTAAAATACAAAAAATTAGCCGGGCGTGGTTTTGCTTGCCTGTAATCCCAGCTACTTGGGAGGCTGAGGCAGGGGAATCACTTGAACCTGGGAGGCAGGTGCTGCAGTGAGCTGAGATTGCACCAGTGCACTCCAGCCTGGCAATGGAGCAAGACTCCTTCTAAAAAAAAAAAAAAAAATTAAGCAAAGCATAATTGGATTCCCTGATTATCTTAAACAGCATTCAAAAACAGAGCAATAGTGGAGAACGGAAATAAAATTCATAGAGGTGAAATTTGCTTTTTGTGTTATAAGGTGTACATCACATGGCCCGATGAGCATTACAGTGAATTCCAGGCTGATTGGCTGAAGAAAAGATGCTTTTCCAAGCAGGCCAGAGCAAAGCTCCAAAGAGAATTGTTTTTTCCAGGTAACTTTGCCAAAGTCTTCAATGTCTTTTTAAATCCTTACAGTAAAGGATTTTTATTAAGAAATTTGCTCACAAAAAATTCAAACTTTTGTGCTTTGATTAAAATACATGATGTGTAAATTATGTGACGTGTTTAAAGTTTTACCAACAAAGATCATTTGGGTAGAGATGAAAAAGAATACAGAGTAATTCTAGACATTCTATAGAGAAAGGAACAAAATAAGCCCAGCAAACTTGTGTCTTTGTCATCTAAAGCAAAACCTGGCACAGCACACCACAGACACTCCGTAAGTGCTCACTACAAAGAAGCAGGATGAACTAGAGGCAGAATGGCCCTTTATAAAAATGTTGTCTAAGACCAGAACAACACAAATCAACAAAGCAAGAATTCTTAACCTGGTCTTCACAGATGGAATTATGGGATCTACCAACCCATGAAATGGTATGCATAGCACTGCATATGCCTGTGAATGTGGGATAATTTGTCTGTGTGTGTGCATGTACACACATGTGCACGCAAAGCCACATTTGTCTAGGAAGAATTTATATGGGTTTTAAGGGGATCCGTGAACAGAACAATGTTCAGAAAAATTTCGAGCGTGGATTCAGTGGATAAAGAGGGCTCCATTGCTGAGCAAAGAAGCAAAATAAATACTTAAAACAGGTGGAAATATTTTTTTAAATTTTAGGAGATATACAGTAATAGAACTCAAGCAGAGGAACTGGTAAGGGGTGAGGGGTGTTTACAATTCGTTCCCTGACTATTTTGAAGATTTATTACATGAAACTATGTGCATCAAAGATAAACTGAAAAACAGTTTTTGCAAGATCTAGTCATTTAAAAGTGCGTAGCACTCCCCTCTCTCTCTTGCTCCTGCTTTCCTCATGTGACCTGCCTGCTCTGCCTTCACCTTCCATCACGATTGTAAGTTCCTGAAGCCTCTCCAGTAGTTGAGCAGATGTCAGTGCCATGCTTCCTGTATAGCCTGCAAAGCCATGAGCCAATTTAACTTCTTTTCTTTACAAATTACCCAGTCTCAGGTATTTCCTTATAGTGATGCAAGAACAAACTAATACAAAAAAATTGGTCCTGAGAAGTGGGGCATTACTATAAAGATAATTAAAATTTAGAAGCAGCTTTGGAACTGAGTAACAGGCAAATGTTGGAAGGGTTTGGAGAGCTCAGAAGAAGACGGGGTAAGTTTGGAACTTTGTAGAGACAGGTTAGATGGTTGTGACCAAAATACCGATGGTGATATGGATAGTGAATGCCTGGCTGATGAGGTATCAGATGGAAATGAGGATCTTATTGGGAACTGAAGCAAAGGTCACATATGTTATGCCTTAGCAAAAGAACCTGGCTGGATTGTGTCCATGCCCTAGGGATATGTGGAGGTTTGAAATAGAGAGTGATGACCTAGGGTATCTGACAAAATAAATTTCTAAGCAGCAAAGTAAGTGTTTAAGAAGTAACATGACTGCTTCTGACAGCCTGTGATCAGATATGGGAGCAAACAAATAAGTTGGAACTTTCATATTTAAAAGGAAAGCAGAGTGTCAAAGTTTGAAAATTTTGTAACCTATTCATGTCTAGGCAGAGAAAGAAAAAGCTTTTACAGGAGAGGAAGTCAAGCAGGCTGTGGATCAACTACTTATTAGAGATATTTGTATAACTAAGAAGAAGCCAAGTGCTCATAGCCAAGACAACAAGAAAAAGACTTCGAAGGCATTTCATAGATCTGCACAGCAGCCTATCCCATCACAGACCCAGAGGCCTAGGAAGGAAGAATGGTTTCCTGGGTCAAGGGCTCCACTGCCCTGTGTGTAGCCTTGGGACGCAGCTCCCACATCCCAGCTGCTCCGGCTCCAGCCTCGGCTCCAAGGGGCCAGGTACGGCTTGGGCCATAGTTCCAGAGGGCATAAGCTACTGTAAACCTTGGTGGCTTCCATGTGGCTTTAAGCCTGTGGCTGCACAGAGTGCAAGAGTGAATGAGGCTTGATGTTCTCTGCCTAGATTTCAAAGGATGTATTATGTTGGTGCAAAAGTAATTGTGGTTTTTGCCATTCAAAGTAACAGCAAATATAAGAAAGCCTGGGTGCCCAAGCAGAAGCCTGCTGCAGGGGCAGAGCCCTCTCAAAGAACCTCCACTAGGGCAGTGCAGAGGGAAAATGGGTTGGAGGCCCCACTTAGAGTACCCACTGGGGCACTGCCTAATGGTGCTGTGGGATGAAGGCCACCATCCTGCAGACCCCATAATGGTAGATCCACCATCAGCATGCATACTCGGCATAGAAAAGCCATAGGCACTCAACCACCTGTGACAGCAACCTCTGGAGCCAAATTTGCAAAGCCATAGAGGCAGAGCTGCCCAAGGCATTGGGAGCCCACCCCTTGTACCGTTGTGTCCCGGAGGCAAGATATGGAGTCAAAGAAGATGATGTTGGAGCCTTAAGATTTAATGACTGCCCTGCTGGGCTTTGGACTTGCATGGGGCCTGTACTCCCCTTTCTTTTGGCTGATTTCTCCTTTTGTAATGAGAATGATTACCCAATGCCTATAACCCCATTATATCTTGAAAGTACATAAATTGTCTTTAATTTTACAGGCTTATAGGTGGCAGAGACTTGCCTTGTCTTAGATGAAACTTTGGACTTTGGACTTTTGAGTTAATGCTAGAATGAGTTAAGACTTTCAGAAAGTATTGGGAAGGCACGATTGTATTTTGCAATATGAGAAGTACATGCGATTTGGGGGACCAGGGGCAAAATGATATGGTTTGCATGTTCCACCCAAATCTCATATTGAACTGTAATCTCCAGTGTTGGAGGTGGGGCCTGGTGGGTGGTAATTGGATCACAAGGGTTGATTTCTCGTAAATGGTTTAGCACCATCTGGTTAGTACTATCCTCACAATAGCAAATGAGTTCTTTGAAGATCTGGTTGTTTTAAGGTGTGTAGCAACACCTCCCTCTATGTTTCTCCTGCTTTTGCCATGTGACCTGCCTGCTCCCCCTTTCAGCTTCCATCATGATTTTAAGTCTCCTGAAGCCTCCCCAAAAGCCAAGCAGATGTCAGCACCATGCTTCCTATAAATCCTGTAGAACAGTGAGCCAACTAAACCTCTTTTCTTTATGAATTACTCAGTCTCAGGTTTTTATTTATAGCAATGCAAGAACAGACTAATATACCAGCCTTGCTGAGTTTTGTAATACCTTTCCTGGAAATTCTTAGCCACATACCAAGAGAGAGATTTTACCTTAACTCTTTTCAAATCTGAAATTCTTAAACATGTGTGGTAACTCTCTGTGGCTTTAAATGAGACTTATGACACTTTACTATGTATGAAGATGTTGCTAATCAACTTGAACCAAATAGCTTCACCATTTCTTCTGGTTATCAATAATAGGGTATGATATTGTCCCCTTCCTCTTTAAGCATAGACCAGCCATGTCAAGAATTTGGTTGCTCCATTTCCTTAGTCTCACCATTCTGATGACTGACAAGGTTTTGTTCTAATGCTTTCTCTCTAAACTACCAGTTCATTTTTCCCTTTATCTAGCTGGTTAAATCCAGATGGATATTCAGGGAAAGATGTTTTTATTGCCTTCCTCCAATGAGTGCACTGCTAGATTCTTCAAGGAGTCTCCAATTACATAATTGAGTACCAATTGTCTGGGTCACATCGCAGTATCAAAACTATATTTTTTTATTTATTTTAGATTTCTTCTGGTACTCAAAATATTTTTCCTTAACTCTGTTCTAATTTTGTAATCCTATTGGATTTTACTTTCATTTCCTTCAAGTTCTTCTTTTGATTTTTTCAGGAAATACATGCCAACTTTTTATTATTACAGCTTAAACTTTTAAGCATTATGAAAGGATATGGACATCCTCCTCCATTAATATTTCTTGATGAGTATAGTTTTATAGCTTACATTTTTCAGTACTATTGGGCAGTAGCAAAATGGAAATGATACTACACTCAGTTAAGTAGTGGAAAAAACTGGTCACAATGACAGGCTGCAATCATGAATAATATAAGAACTGGCTGCTATTTAGACACTGGAAAATATTTTAATAGTTTAAAACAAGATCAGATTTTTAAAATATATTCTCAAGCTGTGCAGTTGGTGGGTAAAAAAAGAAATTAATGAGCCATTTTTGGAATATTGGTTCTATGGCTTTTTGCCTGTAGAACTTGATCCCTTATTTCATTGCCATTGCAGATTTTCAAACATTTATATTCCAGAGCATGCAAACAAACTCAGTTACATTTGTGAAAGGATTTTGTTTTTTAGTCCCAGTGGTAATGTTTTCTCTTCTGCAAGCACAACCATCGGAGTGAGGGTTACAGAGCTTTTAAAATCTGGAATCAAGATGCAGACAGTTTTTCCTTGATCTTCCCCTGGCACTTGCTGTTGAACTAAAAAATGACAAGACAAATGATCATCATCCAAAAAAACTTTTGTCATGGGACACAGTCCTAGCTGAAAGGAAGACATGGATAGTGATCACTCCCTCATAAATTTCTATTCAGTTGTGCATATATTGGGTATCTATTTTGTGCCAGGACCTCTGTAAGGAAATATCAAGATTTTTTAAAAAGACATAGATTCTCTCCTTGAGGACTTATCAAGTCTGAAAGGGAACAATAGCCACGAGAAAATAAGTATAAGACATTACTTGAAGTACATTAAAACCACACATAGAAAGTTAATGATGACACATAGGAAGGAACTTCAAGGGATGAAAGAATGATCCTCAGAAATGAGGTAATACTTGAGCTGCATTTTGGAGAATCAATCAGTTTGTCAGCCTAAGATAGATAGAAAGTAAGGAAATTCTCAACAAAGAAAAAGGCAGGTAGAAAATCATCAAAGGGTAAAATGGTAGGATAGGTTTAGAAAACTGCAATTAGTTTAATATTGGTGAAGTTAAAATTGTTAGGCAACAGAGAAGAAGGAAGAGGCCGAACCATGAAGTGACTTATATGCCCTGC